GTCCCCGCCCCCTGGCCCTAGAGGGCTCTTCTCGGTGGTGCTCCAGGCCCCCCAGCCCTGGGCCTCAGGGTCTGAGGAAGCCTTCTGCAGCCAAGCCTCACTGGGGGGTGGGAAGAGAGCGCAGCTGGGGAAAGGCCACATGTCGGCGGAATGCAACGCAGGCCTCCTGCCCTCACCTCCGCGCCCGCCGACCTCGCCCTCCCGGGTTTTAAGCCCTCCCCCAGGCCAGCTGCTCCCACTCGAGTGTTTAGAAGGCCCCCTGGCTGGGCTCAGGCTGCCGGCCCCGGCTTCTGGGCCCTGAGGGGTCAGGGGCTGCCAGACCTCTGCCCCCCTCTCCTCCCCCCTCACCTGGACAGGCGCCTCGTGGTGGGCGGTGGGCAGTGATGCTGACGTAGAGCCCCGGAGGGCCTCCCTGTGTGAGTTCAGCCACACTGGCCATGAAGCCTGAGCCCAGTGTGACGGCCCAGGAAGCCCTTGGGGTGTCCGGGCCACACACCTCGCTCGGCAGGACACCTCCGGTGGTCGGCCACATAAGGAGGACGCAGGTGTGAGCAAATCACCTGAGCATGCAGAAGTGGGAAGGATGGCACGTGGGCCCAGAGCCGGCCTCCTGGAGGAGGTGATATTTGAGCGGGTCCTGGGGGACCCAGGATAGCCTGGGTGGAGGGAACAGCTGAGCCAAGGCCTGGAAGGGGGAGAGCTGAGTGTGTGCCCCAGAGGTGGGTCCCGGGCCAGAGGGGGCCACCTCTGTTCCTCCCTGACCCCTAAGTCTCCACGGCCCGCCCATCCCCCACCCATCCTGAGGCCGCTTTCAGGTGGGAGCCGCTTAAATGAAGCCAGAAACGCCCTGGCCTCACAGCACATGTTGATTCTGTGCAGATCTGGGTGCGATGGATCCTGTGGGCTGGAAGGCAGCTTGCAAAGTGCCTGGCTTCTGCGTGGGGTCCCTGCCCCTCGCTCTGGGCCTGGAGGGGCCTGCCGACCTGTGGCTGGTGAGCCAGGCTCAGTCTTGGTGGGGCCCCTGCCGCACGGTTTCCTTTCTCCTGATGCGGGCATGGGGAGCCCCTGGGCTTGTTTGCCTACGCAGCCCACAGCCCACCCTCCAGGCCACAGCTGGCAGGTCCAGGCTGGGAAGTTGGAATTGGAGGAGTTTCAGACTGTGGTGAAGCAGGATTGTGAATACGGGAGCCGGGGCAGCCCGTCCACCTGCCTGGGGGGGGGCTTGTGGCACCTGCTTCCTGGGCTGACAGCCCCTTTCCCAGCTCCACCTGGCTCTGCTCTCACCTTCAGAGGCTGAACTGAAGGCAGCCTGGTCCCCTCTGGCCCCCGAGGAAGGGCTGCCCCTGGGCAGCCTCTCTCAGCCTGGAAAAAGGGAGACCTGTCCCAGGTCAGGCTTGGCCCAGTCCTCATGGCCACCCAGCTGCCACAGCTCCCCAGATGCAGGCCCCCTGCCCCGGACATGCCCTCTCTCCTGTCTCCACACGACCGCCCACTCTTACCCGTGTGTGACTCCAGGGGCACTCTTGCCACCGGGCTCTGCTTCCAAGAAGCCCCGTTGCTCCTTCCTCTTCTGGGCACCGTGCCGGGCCTCGGCCAGGATGGAGCGCCTCGAGGGCAGCGTCGTGTCTGCCATGAGGACACATTGGCCAGAGTCCGGCCGGGTGAGGATGAAGTGGAGCTGTGGCCTTTCTCCGAGACAAGGCGGCCAGGTCCCTCCTTCCTGTGTGGATGGGGTGCGCAGAGGGCCTCTGGCCTGGGCCCTTCCCTCCGCCCCCCTGTGGTAGGCGGGACGCCACAGTGCTGTGCCCAGGCCAGGAGCCAGCTGCGTCAGGCCTGGCCCCGCCAGCCTGCCTCTGAGCTCAGACCTCTGCGATGGAAAAACGTGGCCACCCTGCTCCGGGCTGAGACTGCTGACACGCCAGCGCTGGGGCTCCCGCCAGCCGCCTGGCGTGGGGACAGGCCTGCCTCCGCACTGGCCTTTCCGATGATGCTTTTCAGAATACGCCATGTTCCAAGCTGGCGTCCGAGTATTAATAACGCTGCTTCCTCCCAGGGCGGCCAGTAAACCGGGAGCACCAGTCCTGGGCATGGGTTCTGGACAGGAGCCTCCTGGGCTGCGGCTGTGCAGCCTGGCAATTTGGGGTCAAGGGCCCCCTTCAGGGCCTCAGGGGGGTGTCAGCCCTAACCTAGGCAGTGGGGCTCAGGGTTTCAAAGCCATGGGGTCACCTGGGGTCCAGGGTGGCCCAGATCACCTTGTGGCAAGAACAGAGGAGGTTGTGGGTGGACGAGCCAGGGGTCATCAGCACACGGCCCCTCCACACCCCAACTGTGGGCCCTGCGTGTGCACCCCACCAGCACGGCATCTCCTGTGTGGCACTGAGGGATCCTCCAGTGTGATTCTGGTGAATAAACCCAAGGAGAGGCATGGCCTGTGACCACAAACGGGCTGCTGCTTCCAAGAAGCCCCCATTACTACACGACACACAGAGAGCTGGTGGGATCTGAATTGTGATGCTGCCCTGTACCAGGTCACACAGTGCATTGGGGGCACGGGGAGGGCGACATGCTGCAGACCCCACACAGCGCCCTGGGGACACCTGCCACAGGAAAGCGACCCACACTTGGTCCAACTCCTTCCGGGGAATTAAAGTGGGAATGGAGGTCAGCCCAGTCCCCCACAGGACATGCCAGGCTGGGCCCTGGGCCCAGCCCCCTGGTCCACCAGGGGCGCAGTGGGTGAGCGGGCTGGCTGGGTCCCTCGTCCGGCGGGGAGCTGGGGCACCTGAGGCCTTTGTGCTCATATTTAAGCCAGGCTCCAGGTTGTGCCCCAGTGCTGTGTTACTGCTATAGGGGTCTTGGGGTGGCACTCCAGGGCCGGCTGAATTGAAACAGGAGGAACAGCATCACAATAGAGCTTTCTGGAAGTGCAGGGGCCCCGGCAGGCTGCCATCACAGACCTCCAGTCCCCCCAGGGCCTGTCCAGGTGTCCTAGGAGCAGAGGCCCCGAGTCAGGGTGCTTGTGTCCCCCCAGCTTTCATGCCCATCTGCCTCCTACAGGCAGGGCAGCAACCCAGCGCCTTGCTCCCAGCCCCATTCTGGAAAATGCCCGTGTGGCGGGTGGAAGGGCCACAAGGGTTAGGGAGGGCTGGATGGGGGGCCCAAGCTGGGCTGCCAGGGTCCCAGAGACCACCACCACCAGCTGAACACAGCCTGTTCCAGCCACCTGGGACCCTAGGATGGAAGGCAGGAGTGGGACAGAACAAACCACCGGCAGCCAGGGGGCTGGGTTCGTTCTTCTCCTTCCCCTCCTTTCCTGGGGACACCTTCTCTGGGCAGTGACTGCTGGAGGTGAGAAGGGAGGGAGGCCCTGCCCCACGACATTGGGGTCTCACCAGGGAATGTGCTCACCCTGACTGGTGGCCCTGGTCACAGGGCCCCTGAGCAGGTGTGGGCTGCCTCCCAACACACACTCCTGGCCCCTGGCCACCACCCCTGCTGGGCGGGCGCGGGACGGCCAGAGCTGTTGCTAGGGCACTAGTCCAGTCTGCCCAAAATGCCTGCTGCTGAGCCTTATGTGTCCTTGCAGCAGGCTGGGACCAGCGGCTGGGCCACAGGAGGGGCTGCCGTGACCATAGGCAGGTTCCTGTAGGCTTGTTGGGGTCATGGGAGGATTCGAAGCACCTTGAACCTTTGGGTCACTGAGGGAGTTGGTGACATTACTGTGGGCTCAGTGCCTGGAGAGGTGGATGGCGTGGACAGGCTGGGGCATGGCCGTGTGGGTAGATAGGAGAATGGACAGGCAGTACCTGCGTGGTGTGTAGAGTGCAGGATGGTGGAGATTGGTGGATGGGTGGAAGGGTAATGGGGCAGGATGGGATCGAATGGTACCTGGGACACAGTGACGGAGGGACAGACGGACGGTGGGTGGGTGGGTGGTGAATGTATTGCCAGATGACTAAGTGGTCAGATGGATGAATTGATAAGAGAATCAAGAAATAATTTTAGATGGATTAGTGAGCTGGGCAGAATAATGGCCGGACATGCTGGCTAGAGTGAGCCGGGACCGGCAAGATGGGAGGATGACAGACAGGGCTTTGGTATCATTTTGAAGATACGTTTGGGAAAATTGGCAAACAGGAAAATGCTGGGGCTAGTCCCGATCTCTCTCCACCCTGTCATGAGCATAAAAGCCAAACCAACACCTCTACCCCAACCACTGAACTTCTCAGCCTTGACGAGTGACGCCCCCCATGCCAAGTCCATAGGGCAGCCCTTTCCTGGGAAGCCTGCTGCTCATGTCCTACGGCCCTCACCCTCCTGGACCCATGAGGCTTTCTCTGGCTTCTCTCTCTCTGCCCCTGGTAACACCCAAGGCTTCCCCTTAGTCCTGGTGAGCCATGGAGACGGGGACCCTCTATTCAAGTGGGGTCTGGGGTGTGCCAGCCTGTGGCATGTGGAATGGGAGGCACTGGTCCTTGTTAATAGACCCCCTCCCCTGGACACCACCGAGGGGTGGTGACATGTCCTAAGAGAAAGGACAGCCTGGGTCCAGGGCAGGATGGAAAACGGGCAAGAGGGGTCACATGCAGGGGACTTTCCACATGGGGTGAGGGGGCCTGGTGCCAGCATCCATATTGCCACCCCTGTCTCCCCATCAGCCCCGATTTGGACCCGTGGGCTGGGGGCTCCAGCTGTCCCCCGGCCCACCCATTACAGCTTTGGCCCAGGTCGGGAGAGTGAAAGCTGCTGCCCAGTTTGATTTTGGGGGAGGGAGGCTCTTCAAGCAGCTGCACCTCACAGGGCTTTTGGGTCACTGGCGTTTCCAACCGTAGTGGTGGCTGGGGGCGGGGGCCCTGGCAGGCTGCCCTTCTGGGCAGTGGTCTGTAAGCTCAGGAGGCTGCAGGGCAGGAGGCAGACACCCCTTGTCCACCATGTGGACGGGCAGGTGCACGCCGCAGGTTCCGCCAGCAGGTCAGCTCCCAGGAGAGCAGGCCTGCCTCCACGCCTCCTCCCCAAAGCCACCAGGCCGTTTGGTTCTGATGTGGGGTCTTTGGCTTGAGCACAGTGACCAACAGGGATGCCAGTGCCCAAGGCCAGCAGGGGCCCAGTGCCTTCCCCAGGCCTCCCTGGATAGAAGGAGCTGCTGGGCTTCAGCTGACCCAAGACGCACCTGCCAGGAACTCCCTCCACCCAACCGCACTCCATCCTCTGCTCTCATAGCCCCCACCCCACCCTGCTGCCATCCCCTGATCTTGGGGGTGTGCTGGGCCAGTGGGGGCTCCACCCATTGGCCTGTGCCTGTCCTCCATGCCAGGCTCTGCAGCCCCTGCGAGTAGCCACTGCTTGTATGTGGTGCACAGTGTGGGACCACAGGGGAAGGTGGCCTTTGGTGGCTGCTGGAGGCACCTCTTCCTAACAGCTGGGGTGGGAGGGGCTGCCCCACCTCAGACCCTCACCCAGAGGCTGGTCTGGCCGAACACAGCCATGGGCCAACATGCTACTGTCCCTGGTGGGCCTGGTGGGTAAACAGAGGCCAGCAGAGCAAAGCGCAGGGTCTCCGGGTGAGGTGGGGGCTCTTCCGAGACCTGCCTGGGATGGCGGCCCCTCCCCAGCCTTGGCAGGGGCCGATTCAGCAGGGGCACGCGACCTCACTGCCCTGACCCCAGCATGCCCGGGCAGAGGCCCCGCAGGCCCCGGGTCAGAGCACACCCTCATGGGAGTGGGTCCAAGAGCGCCCACCCTGGAGAGGCAACGGCCGTCAGGGCGGCAGTGCCTGGGGACTGCTGGAGGCCCCTCTGCCCCAGCGAGAGCCCATGCCCCAAGCTGGTCCTTGCTCTTCCAAACCCCCCAAAAGCAAACCTCTGGGAGGCTGGCAGACCCGTGGCCTGGGGCAGTGCGGGGTGGCTGGACCCTGGGGACTGTTCTGGAGGGTGGGCTCTGGCCGCCAGGCGCGGTGTGGGACAGCACCTGTCTGTGGCAAATGGACACAAGCCTTCAACAGAGAATGAATGCTCACAACTCTGATAAAACAACAGCAAACATGTCTGGGGCTCGCCGTAGAGCCACAGTTCAGAATCCTTTGAAAATCTATTTCCCAAACTTTACATACTTCTGCAGTTTCTTTTAAATTTTTTTTTATTTGGCGAGCATCTCTTCTTTATTGTCATCATGAACATCATTATTTGGACCTCTGCAAGGACTATATACATTCACATTAACGTTTACTACTGACTCCCCGCCTCTCGGCAGAGCCCCCGGGAGCCCGTTTCAGTGGCTGGCCGCTCCTGTATTGCACTGCAGGCCTGGGGACTTCTCGACAAGAAACGCCAGGTCGGGAACCATGAACGCTGTCGGCTCTCCCGCCGAGTACCGCCACACGGTCCTGATATTTTATTCCTCCTGGAGATCGCTAGAGGAGTGGGGTGGGGGCGTGGGGGGTCTGAGAGAACCCCCTGAGGAGCGGCTGACTGGAAACGCGGGGTATGTACAGTTGACCAGGTCTCAAAGTGCGGCCAGGGTGGCCCGCTCTTGTGTGTGGTTTTCTCCTTTTTCTGCAAAAGTGTGAAGAAAGGACGCTGGGGCGGGCGGGTGAGCGGGCAGGTGAGCCACGGGCACAGAGGTAGAGGAGGGGCTCGGAGAGGCGGAGTTAGCTACGGGCGCAGCTGTGTCTTCTCCTGTTTGCAAAGCAGTCAGAAATCAGCCCAGAAGATTGTCGCAGTTCGTTCCGTTCGGATTGTGCTCAGGAGGGACATGTCAGCACTTTTTCACGAGTGGGAAAGAGGAAGTGTGGTGAAGGCTCACAGAGGGCGTGAGCACAGACGGGGGTCTCCCTGTTCCCGAGCAGGCGCGGCCGTCTGGAGGAGGGAAACAAAGGCCAAAGGCTGCTTCTGGTCCGCAAACTCCTGAACGCCAGGAAGTGGACCAAAGTGAGAGAGAAGACAGACATCCGGGCAAACCCGAGCAGAGGGGGGAGCAGAAATGACTTTGGCAGCGAGAAAACATTTTGGATTTCGACATCTGGGGTCTGCTTTTTGGATTCCTTTGGACCAGAGGCATGTCCGGCGTCCTTGGCTGGCTAGCTGGCAAGGTAGTTTACAGGTAGGCGTCCTTTGCTTTTTCTTAAATAAACTTTTTTTTGGATTTTTTTACTTAAAGCCAAAGAGTTTGACATTACAGGACAAATAATCTGAAACCAAAATGCTTCTTGAGTTGGAAATTGAAATCTTTCTTACCGTCTTCACCGAATCAGCCACACGACCTTTGTGGTGGTTTCAGTGACATGGTGGCTCAGATCTCCGGCTATAAAATAACGGTTCTCCTTTTCCCTTTTTAATTGGGGAGGGAAAAAAAACCCAGTTTTCTTTGTCCACGTCTGAGTCCTTCTTTTGCCACAAAAGCTCCCAAAATTCTTCACTGAAAATATAAGCCACTGAACAACTAGATTATTTTTCCCATTTTTTCCCAAAAGAAAGTGTGTAAAAGTCATAGAAAAATGAGAGAGAGAGAGAGGTGCAGCGGTGGATGGAACAGCCACCTTGGTCTGCTGTCTAAAGCTTGGTGGGAGGTCCTGAGGGTGCTCCCGGAGGTCGGGGGTCGGAGGTCATCCCGTGAGGCCGGCAGGTAGCTGAGGAAGGTGCATTGAATGCCATTTTTGCTGGTTCTGGGTTCTTTTGGAGACAAGCAGTAGTAGCGGCTCCATCGGTCGGTCCCGGGGTGGGCGTGGCATCTGTAGGCCAGGTTTTGGGGTCTGGAAGGGTCAGTGGGGTGCAGCGTCCAGAGGGCCAGGGGGGCCCGGGGAGCCAGGCCGGGAAGACCCTGTGTTGCTGGCCTCGCTGGGGCTGGCGGCACCCCCGGGCAGGCAGGGGCCCAGGCTGCTGGTGGCGTCGGGCTGTCCGGGCACTGAGTCAGCTGCCAGGGCCGTGGGGCCCTGCAGGCCCTGGCCGCACACGTGGTGGTGCCTCTCCCAGTCCTTGTGCTGGCAGAAGGAGCCACAGTAGCGTGCCGCGTTGCAGCCACTGCACGTCTCGCTTGCCTTTCGCCCGCAGTTCCAGCAGCTCTGGGTGGGGGGAGATAGTCAGGGCTGGGCCAGTGGCCACCCCAAATCCCCGAGTAGCCAGCCCAGCCACGGAATGGGGATGCACACACTCCAAACCAACCTGCTCACACCCAGCACACAGGGCCATCACGCAGGCACTACAGCTCGTGCATGGGTGACCTCGGTAGACACAGCCACCCGTTGTTGGGGGACAAGCTCTCACTATTGCGTCTCACAGCTGTAGCCACCCCAGAGAGGTTCACCGGTGCCTATAGGACCACAGGGTCCTCTCCCTTCCCGGAAGTGCTCCTGGCATCACTAGGGCTCCAGTACCACAATGTGGCAGCCCCAGTGGGGTGCAGACTGCCGGGCTCTGATGTGAGGTGCACAGCCAGGCCTGCCCTGGGCATGTCCTTCACCTGCCACTGGACCTCTGCTCACTTTCTATGGAATGGGCGGTCACCTCGGCTGCCTACATGAGCAGCGGGTGGACAGGGGTACGGGCGGAAGGCAGGAAGGCCGGAGGCGGCAGCTGGGCTCTCGGACAGGGAAGCCCTGCCCCACCCAGGAGAACCTCTGTGGCCTTCAAAGCCTCTTAGACCCCAGCACCTCCTGCTGTCCCCCTGCTGGGCCCCCAGCCTCCATGTGGTCCTCACTGCCAGGCACCTAGCCCCTCTCCTGGCCTTGGTGGGGATGGCACTGCGCCCCCAGGTTCCTGAATGGCTCGCTGACCTCCCCAGGACTCCTGCCCAGCATCCTCCCTCCCTCCCTACACAAGTCCATGGCCTGAGATGCCACATGCCACGTGTGGACCCTCCCCCCTAGGAGGCCTGCTCTGTGGATCTGCCCCCAACCCGTTTCTCCGGGGCAGAGGCTGCTGGGAGCTGGTGCAGAGCCCGCGAGCTGACCAGGAAGCCGGCTTTTCCTCCTGCCCTCAGGCTGGCTCTTCCCCAGGGATGGTCCTGGGGCCCCCAAGAAGGGTCTTTCCCTCTCTCTGACCTCATTGCTGCCCAAGTCCTTCTCGGACAAGGAAGAAAAGGGGTCCCCAGGGCCCTTGTGCACCAGCCTGTTGGTCCCAGCCTGGCCTCCTGGATGCCCCTCCCATGTGGACGCCAATGCCAGGAGCAGAGGAGGTGCCCTGGGGCCACTGTGTCCCCCGTGTCAGGCCAGGGAACACGGCTGTGGCGCCTGCCAGCCTAGGTTTGAGTGACAGCCCTGCCCCTTCCTAGGTCACGACCCAGAGCAAGCCACACACCCTCTGGGGCCTCAGTTCCCTCACCCACACAAGGGGCGCCCACAGGACCTGCCTCACCAGGCCCTGTCCGGTCAAGAGGCTCCAGGGCTCCTGGGCTGCTCCAGGGCATGAGGCTGGGAGGCGGGGCCAGGGGGTGGGTGGGCAGGTGGCCCTACCTCACTGGAGTCCTCCTGCTGGTTGATGACCGTCAGGGCGTCCTCTGAGGCCTGCCGCCTGGCCTCGGCCAGGGCCCGCTCCATCCTGGCGCGCTCTGTGCTGATGAGTTCGTGGGCCTTTCTCTCCGCGTCCGACACGGCCTTCTGCAGCTCTGACATGGCCTGCCGCTTCACCTCGTTCACGGCCTCCTCTGCCGAGGACAACGGGTGCACTGTCACGTGGGCCAGGCGGCCTGGTCTCCAGGGACCCCTGCCCACAAACTTGGACCAGGGGCTTGCTCACAATCAGCATGTGTGCCCCGGGAATGGTGTGCAAGGGAAATCCCCAAAGCTTGTGCTCTCCAAAGTGTTCTCGAAGTCTAGTGTGCCCTGGCATTCCCCTAGAGGGCAGGGGCTAGCGCAGTCCCAGGTTCTGGTTCGGCAGGCCTGGAGTGGGCCCAGGAGTCTGCATTCCTAACAGGTTCTAAGTGGGGCTGACCCTGCCAGTTGAGGCACCCACTTTGAGAGCTCAGCTGTGCTGTGGTGCCTACAGGCACAGGGTGCCTTCCTGGTGACCCAACTGGAGGCAGTGACAGAGAGCCTGTCCCATCCAGGGCTCTGCATTGTCCCCCCGAAAGCCCTCTCTTTTCTGTCCCCCACAAAATACCTCTGTCCTGCTTACGTCTGAAGACAAAGTGCCCTGCCTGAGCGTTTGCTGCTCTGAGCTGAGCTGTCTGGCAGAAGGAAAGACATCTGCTCAGATTACCCCGTGTCCTCTGAGGTGGGGACCTACCCCAGCCCCTCTGACCGTCCGGGCCTGCCTCGGTGTACCGGTGCTATTCCCGCAGCATGGTGAGGGACTTGGGGTGGGTGGAGCGGAGTTCCCCCCATGTAAGGGGCTGAGGCAACCTGGATCCGGCCATGTGAGTGTATGCATGGTGGGTGTGTGCTGGTCATACCAGGAGTCACCTGCCCTGTGTCACTGCCCAAGCTCTGTGTGGCTGGCATCAAGGGTCCCATGAGGCCTCCCCACAGGCCACGGGAGACGAGTACCCTGACCCCAGTCCAGGTCTGCGTGTCTGCACATGATTCGTACTGGGCTCAGGACCCGCTCTGTTCTGCTGAGAAGCATGCCTGTTTGCTGGCAGATGAACTACCCTGAACCCTGAATGCACTCCGACCCCTCCGTGAGCCCCTCGTGGCAGGGTCGGTACAGCCCTGTGAGCTTTGCACCCAGCTGGCCCAGCTGAGCCCCTTTGTGGACAGAAGAGAGAGGGGTCAGGGTCCTGCCCCTGCCAGCCTCCCCTGCCAGGGCCCACCCCACTCACCAGCCTTCCTCCAGATCTCCTCGGGCATGTAGCCGGAGAGGGTCCTGGGCATGAACTCCCGGTGGACGTCTGAAACACAGGGGCCCAGCTTCATGCACAGGGCAGGACGTGTGTCCAGGCTGAGGTACCCACGGATGGAAGCCCTGGGTCATGGTTGGGGTGTAGGCAGGGCCACGGCGGGAAGGGGTGCTCTGGGTGGGCTGCGTTCAGCCTGGAGTGGGCCTGGCCATGGCCGTCATCCGGGCGGAGGAGGAGAGAGCAGAGACCCTTGAGGGCCTCCCAGCTCGGGGCCCTGGCCTGCTGGGACCATAACTCCCTGCGTCCAGCAGGTCGGCAGTGTCTGTGCGGAGCAAGAAGCCACCCTGCTCGGAGGAACACTGCTCTGGGCTGCATCTTACAGCGGCACCAGGGTGCAGCCCTCTCAGCGAGTCAGCCTTGTCCCCGGCACCCTGCAGCGCCCCCCACCCAGGCTGCCATCTGCCCACCTAGCTGAGCCCCCTCTGCCCCAGTGGAGCTGTTGAGGGGCCGGGCGGGGGCTGGTGCAGGGCCCTTCTTGTCCTCGGCATCGCTGTAGCGCCGGACCCAGCGGTTGAGCTCCTGGCGGTCGGCCTCCTGGCACCGGCGGAGCACAGTGAGCGACCGCCGCGTCTTCTCTGCCACGTCCATAATGCAGTTGAGGAGCTGCAGACGAGTGGGGTGTGGGCGTGGGGCTGTGCGCCTGGCGGCCCGATGGACGGAGACCTCTGCCTGCACTCCTGGCCTTGGCCACCCCACCGCCCACGGGCACTGCCCGAGAAGTCCAGGCAGAGGTGTGGAGACCCAGCTCCACTGCCCGGAAGGACTGAGCGAATAGGGCGTGGCCATGGCTCTGCCCCCAGAATCTCTGGGCACGGGGGACTGCGGGCAGCTTGCTTAAGTGGGGGGCTTGGGGCTGTCCTCTCGCCCCTCTGCGGTGTGGTCGCCCCACAGTGAAGACGACCACCCCCATGAGGAGGCAGGGGCGGGGTTGCCCTGCACACGGCGTTGATGTGGCCTCGCCTCCCGCCAGGTGACCCTGCTCCGTAGACACAGAGGTGGGCAGGCTGGGGTGGGGGCGGGCAGAGACAGGTGCGCGCAGAGCCCCAGGAGCCCACCCCCCCGCCCCGCCCCACAGGTGGACCGGGTGTGCCTGGACACTCACATTGTTGAGGTGCTTCCACTCCTCTGCCCACTCGCGCTCCGTGAGCCTGTGGTCAATGACCTCCTCCTGCCGGGACCCGGGCACCACTGCGGGGGCATGAGAGGAGCTCAGGCCCCATCCCCTGCTCCCAGGCCCAGTCAGCTGGGCTGTGCCCACCTGGGGAGGGCGAGAGGGTGTGGAAGGGGACCCTGAGCACCCACGGTCTGCCCACGGGAGGTCAGGGATAGGCCTGGCCTCTGCTCAGTGTTTGGGAGGAGAGGCCCTTGTTCCCACACCTCAGAGCTGGCCACCCTGCCCACCTCCCTGCCTCCAAGTACAGCGGCCCTCACTCTGCCCCCTGCTGCCAAGGGAGGCTGCCTTAGAGCCCACTCTTACCACTGCCCAAAAGCCCTCAGGGGCTCCTCCTGGCTGGGCAGCCCCGGTCCATGCTCACTACTTTCTCTCCGCCAGCTAGACTCCTGCGCATCCCTCAAAGCCCAGGTCACAGGTCCCTTCCCCCTCAGCAGTCCTGCGTCCTCAGAATGCCTGAAGCCCCATGGATCTTTGGTTGTTTAGTAAATGTAGGGTGCTTCCTGGTTTATTTTCAGCCTCCCAACAGGGCATGCCAATCCCCAAAGCAGGCCTATTCACCTCTGCGTCCCCTGGGCAGGTCCCCAGAGGGGTGGCAGGAGGTGTTTCGGCTTATCTGCTGGGTCTTGAGTGAGCCGGTCCAAGTGTGGTCAGGGAAACCCAAAGCCCTTATGTCCATTCCTCATAGGACCCCAGGCCCCTCATCTGGCCACTCTGTGCCTCAGTTTCCCTACCCACAGCCCTCCCAGGGGTGTGGCACCCAGCGGGCATGCTGGAGGGCAGGGCCCCGGTAACCAGGGCCCCCGGGAAATAAGCCCTCTGTGCTAAGGCCGTCCTCTGGTCGACCTCTGAGGGAGGCGCTATTGTCACTCCCATCTGGCAGAGGAGGAGACCGAGGCTGGTGGAGGGATGTGTCTGCCCAAGGTCACCCAAGGTCGGCCTGGGTGGGAGCTGTGCCCTCAGCCACTACCTGGTATGATTCTAAGACTGAAATAATGGGGTGCCTCCCGTAATCGCCAACAGAATGCCCGAGACTGAGGACCTCACCATGTGAAGTGACTGCCCTCCGAGGCTCTTCTCAATGTCACAAGACCTCGCCCTGCACTCTGTAGGGCTGCGCTCAGCGCTTCCTGGGCGGGGTGTCCACTTAGCGCTTCCCAGCCCCTGAGGCCCTCCCAGCCTGAATCACAAACGCCTCCTGGAACTGCAGAAGGGCAAGAGGTGCGGCCACAGCCCGTCAGCCCTGCGGCCCGCGGTCAGGTCCACACCAAGGCCCCAACCAAAATAGTGGCTGAGATCTGCCCGACAGCTGGCATTTATTTTTGCGTTAGCAGAAGTGGGTGGGAATTAGCACCTGCCTGACCCGGCCATAGGGAGCCAGACGCTGTCACCTGCTGCCTGGGCTCGGGCCCTGGAGCTCCTGCAGGGTGGGGGCAGGGAGAGGGCTCTGCCTCTGGGCACCCGTTGGTGGCCTGGGCCTCTGTCTCAGGTGTCTGTTTCCAGGGCTGCTTCCCCCAGTACACTGGGGGCCCCGGGATGGGGGCCAGTCCTATTCATCTGCTGGTCCCCAGCACAGAGGGGGTCAGGCAGACATGGCTAGATGACTAGGCTATGCTTCCTGGGCACCCCTCCCCTGTGATGTGGGCGTGCTAACACATGACACATGTGTGTCATAAATCTCAAAATGTGCCGCCTTCTAGAACAGAATCAAACACATAATGAAAGCAATAGCTGAGAGCCCCACCTGGGCCTGTCACCATGGCCATCAGTGACAGCCGGGCCCCCAGCACCCCCTCTGGGCCTCGGTCCGACCTCACACCACCCCGCGGGGTGGCACGCCTGTCAGAGCCAGCTGACGGAGAGACCACCACCCATGGTGTGCCCCGGCCTCCCACACCTCCTTCCTGCACCGTGGACAGGGGGTCGTGTCTGTCTGCCTCTGGAAGCAGGAGGGGGGAGGTGTGTGGTCAGTGGCAGTTAGTGGGAGCCCACGGGTCTCGGGGTCGTTTGCTTTCCCTTGGGTCACCAGGGCCCAGTGGTACCCACTGTGCAGGGCAGAGGGTCACCCAAACTGTGTGCCCTCCTGGCTGAGGCTGGGGAGGCAGCCAGATGGCTGCCCTCTGGGTGGGCTCCGCTCCGGGCCTGGTTCACTTGCTCACCCAGTTCCTCTGCATGGCCCCTGGACAGATGGGGCCGGTGGCACCCGCCGCGATCACCTGCACACCGCGGGCACACGCACTGCCCCTGTGCGTTCCTCACCGAGCTGCCGACGGTGCTCCCGTGGCTCCTGCGGGTCAGCCTGGTGGCAGGGGTCCCGGAGGTGGTGGGCCGCGGCCATGTCCTCGAGGCGGTAGTGCGGCGGCGTGCGGGGGTGCAGCCCGTTGCTGGGGCTGTAGTGCGGGGCAGGGCTCAGGGCGCATGGCCTCTTGCTGAGGTGGTCGGGGTGCAGCGGGTCCTGGTCTGACCCATTCTCTTTGGTCCTGGTCCAGACAGCAGGTGGGGACCAGTGGTCACTTGATCATGAGCCAGGACAGGAGTCCAGGCAGAGGAGAGCGGGGTGGGGAGGGCAGGGGCAGATGGGGAGGCTGAGGCAGCTGCGGGGCCCCAGTGCCCACTCTCCCCTCCTCTGGTGCTCGTGCCAATCCTGCCCCCACCCATGATGTGTGGGCTCCTGGGGCCCAGCCGTCACGAAAGGTGGAGCCTCTGGGGAGGGTGGGAGACAGACGCCCCCAGCAGCAGGAGACATGGGCCCTGGACCCGGGGCTCCTGGACACCAGGACCGCATCTGGCCTGCAGGCAGCTCCTGCCAGACAGACGCCCCCCTGCCTCTTCCCATGTCCTCCCAGGGGGACGTCTGAGGCCTCCGAAGGGCAGCCTCTCGGCGGCTGGGCCTGTGCAGTGGCCTCGTGCACAGGGCTGCACTTTACAGCCCGCTGGCTGGCGCCGTGGAAGGCAACCGTGTCGCCCTGCATTCCCTCGGCCCTGAACCAGGGTGCCTGCTGCACGCTGGTGCCAGAGGCAGCTCTCAAGGGCAGGAGGCAGGAAGCCAGCCCTCCCCTGTCCCCTCCCAGCCCCGGGAAGCCCCCCTGGTACCTGTCAGGGGCCCTCCTCCTCCTGCCACGCTCACTGGCCTCCAGCAGGAGCTCCGAGGAGTCGACGGGGGAGGAGGCGTTGGCATCCAGCAGGAGCTGCTCGTGCTGGGCAAGGTACTGGGCAGGGGTCTGCTTGGCCAGGCGGGCGCAGTGCAGGAGCTCCCTCTGCAGCAAGGGCAGGTTGGCCTGCAGGGGCGAAGCAGGGGAGCCTGGACTCGCTGTTCACGGAGGTCAGGGCGTGAGGCCGGGGGCCAGCCTCGCCGTTTGACTTTAGGCAAGTTGCACGACCTCTCTGGACCTCAAGTTCCTCCACTACAGCCTGGGAATGTGGACAGGACTGTGCTTCCAGGGTACACAGATTCGGGACACGGTGAGACCCCGAGCCCAGGCCCAGGACCCCCAGGCTGGGATTTCCCACCTCACCAAACTCCCTCCCATAGTGGTATCTGGAGAAGGCGAGGGGAAGTGGGCAGTAATGGGGGCGCCTGGGAATGGCCCCGGCTGGCCCCTGCCCACCCTCCAGCAGCTTGGAGTTCAGACCACATGCATTAGCAGGCCAGCACCCCTCTGTACTCATGTGTCACCTGCTGTGGTCCTTATGCCCATCTGTGGATGGACCTGGTGACCTGGCTGCACGATCGGGGGTGAGGGGCTGGCATGTTGAGGTGGGGCACAGGACTGCCTGGGAAGACGCGTGCTGACCACTGCACTGCCCCCCCCATCCTCTCCCTGCTCCTGGGGCTCTGGCCAGCACCGGTGGGCTGCACATGGGCCCCTGGTGCGCCTTCCAGTCTCCCCAGAACCTCGGGGAGGGGGCAGGCGGGATGGGGGCCCAGCAGCAGGCTGCCCAGGAGAGCCAGTTCTCAGTATCTGTAAGTACATCCAGCTCCCAGCCACGGCAGCCCCCCTCGCCCCTGCCCCCCGCCTCTGTCTCCCCAGCCTCTGCCTCCCCGGCCCGCAGTAGCGCATCCACCCAGCCCCGATCAGGCAGTGCTGGCTGCCAGGCCTGTTTTTCTGTTTGGATAGCTGAGCGGGGGCCAGCCCGCCATCTGGGGAGCACGTCAGGAGCATGAGCTGGGAAAGGAGGTCCTGGGAGTTCTGAAGACACCGGGCATCCGCCTTGGCCCTCTTGGCTAGCCTGCAGGGTGGGGGCGGCCCAGCACAGCTGGCTGCTGTTAGGCCTATGGAAACATCTGGGTTCCCGGCTGCGGCCAGCTGGGGGCAGGGGCTGCGGGTGGAGGGCCAGCCGGGCGAGGCAGCGTTTCCTGGCTTCTGGGAAGTCCTGCCATGCACAGCATTGGGCTCAAGAGACGGAGCTGGGACTCAGGGCCCTTGGTTGGGGGACGGGGACCCCAGGCAGAAGAAATGGGTTGAGGCTGGGGAGCCATGCCTGGGCAGCAGACCCTGTTCTGTCCCCCAGAGCCCAGGGAGGCCTTGCCACTGGGAAGCTGGACAGACAGGGCTGGTCACAAAAGCCCTGTGGAGCCGAACTCCAGGGTTTGAGCACAGGTGGCTTCAGGAAGGCCCAGACCCTTCACTTCACAGACAGGAACCCAGACCAGAGGGAACCATGTTTGCAGAACAACCACAACCACGGTGTAGAGTGAGGTGACATCTCCCTCTGGCGCCCAGGCCGCCTGGTGATGGTGGGCCTGCAGTCGGCCCACCCTGGCTCTGCCGTGTGACCACGGGCCCGTCACGTGGCCTCTCTGGCTTCTGCCTCACCGGCAGCCGGGTTGTGCACGGTCCCGCCACCCTGTCCCTCCCGCTCGCCGTGAGGTGGCTCATCACACCCCTTAGCAGTACGGGAAGAGGCCAGATGCTCAGGTCAGAGCAGGGGTCAGAGCAGGTGGGCCGCGGTCCCTATGCCTTCTACAGAACACGGCTCTGAGGGCCACCTTGACAGAGCCCCCCGTGGTGGGCCCGGAGGGCTGTGATCCCTCAGGAAGGTGCTACCCCACGCCCCGAGGCCAGCCCACAGCACAGACGGGAAACCGATAGCAGGGGGTGCTCCCCAGGCAGGACCGTGGGGCGAGGCCCTGCCAGCATCCTGTCAACATGGCCTGGATACAGAGCTGGCTGTGCCCTGGCAGTTTAGTCAGGGAGGGGAGTGGACCGTGTCCTTGACAGTCCCTTTGGCCCAGGGCCCTGGGTAGGGTCCTGGGCCCAGGGGGTGGCTGGCAGGCCCCTCACCCCAGCTGGCCCCGATCACCATGACAGTAATCTTGGAGTGAAACCCTAGCAGCCTCGTGAGGGCCGCTGTGGACGGGGAGAAACCGAGGCAGAGAGGAACCGAAGCAGGCAGCCCTGGGTGGTGGGGGTAGCAGGCGAGGGCAGGAAGGCAGAAGGTTTGCCCCGGCCCTGCTCCTCAGATCAACAGGCCGCTGACACGGGGTATCTGCTGTAAATATTTGATCTGACAGAATAAGCAGGGGCACCGTGTCCCAAAGACGGGGAGCGTGTGGAGTCCCAGTAAGAGCAGGAGAGGCTCCTTATGAAGGGCCAATGGCTGCCAGGTGGGCCTGCCTGGTCAGTGGGCGCCACAGCCTCCCTCTGGGCCAGCTTGGGAGTGTGAGCATGCTGGGTGTGGGCCTGGGCAGTGGGGAGGCGGAGGGGGCGGGTATGGGGTCCTCCTGGCTTGCAGGGAACCAGGTGCAGCTGGGCCCCCCCTGAAGCCCACGGGTTTGGGGTCTGGGTGGTCCAGACTGTGCCCTGGCTCTCTGTCTCCACCAGCAGGGACTGTAGGCCTCGGTTTCCCCACCAGTTAAGGGGGGTTGGAGGTAGGTCCTGTGCTTCCCCCTCGCAGGGCTGCTGGAGGTCAGCAGGGGCGGCTGCCAAAGAGCTTTGCAAAGCACACCTCTCCTGCAGGACATTTTAAATCCCTGATGATGGTACCCAACACGAATCAAGCACATGCTCAGTCGTTCACATGCGCTGCTTCATGCAGTCTTCTAGCAGCCTGCGGATCATGTCCGCTGTATGGCTGCAGAAACGAGGCTCTCTGGGCCGTGAGGGCAGGGCCAAGGCTCAGACCTGGAGCAACTGGTCTGTCCTCAATATCCTTGGGGAGGCGGTCCCCACGGGAACCCAGCTGTGCTGGCGAGACCCCAACAGCCCAGGGGAAGGACAGCCCCGCGAGGGAGGGCCACATGGTCAGACACATCTGGGAAGCGATTCATCTCGCCTCTTCTGGAGGATGTGTGGTCCTCCTTGGGGGTGAAGGCCCCCAAGAGGTGCTCCAGTGGAGATGCGGGCCCCACAGTCTAGACCTACGCTTGCCCCACATTGTGTGCACACGCAACACCAGCACCTGGTTTAGTGCAGACCCGTATTCAATGGGTCTGATGGGCCCTGCAAGGCTGCACTGCCGCTGGCCCCATACCAGCCATTCTCGTCTTTGTCTCTGTGTCTGAGCACATGGCCTTCCTCCTCTGGTGCCATCATCCCTCCGTCTGTCCGCTGTCCCCTCCCCTCACTCTGCTCCACCACACAGCCCCTGCTGCTCCTAAAGCATGGCAGGTACACCCCTACCCCAGGGCCTTTGCACATGCTTCCCCTGGTGCCTGGACAGCTCTGTCCCCGCCATCCGCCCAGTTGTTCCCTTGCCCTCCTCAGCCCTCATCAGAACCTCCCTGTTCAGCGCACCTCCACAGAATCCACAGCCACGGCCCTCCGCCCTGGCAGGGTGTCAGCCAGGAGGGACTGCTGGGCCCCTGGCTGCATCCCTGGCTGCGCACAGTTGCTGGCACATCATGGGTGCTCAGAAGCAGCTGTCAAGTGGGTGCATTAGGCCAATAGTAACAGGACTGATTTGGGGAGCTTAGCGGACTAGGTTTGGCGGCTGATTAATCCAGCCTGGCTACTAGTTTGAAGTCTTAACTAGTAGGAACTGGCCCTGACAGATCGACACTGGTCCCCCAGGAGACAGGGGAGCCCCAGAGTCCTGGGTGGGCCAAGAGCAATCCCCAATCAGAGCTGGCAGGGAATGGACTTGGGGCTCCCTGGGGCCCAGCTGCGCGGGGAGACGGGTCTGTTCTCACCTTCAGGAAGGGGATGACGAATGGCCGTAAAGGGAAGTTGGTGGCCTCTTGCAGCTTGGAGTGGAACTCCTCGATGGTCAGCGTGGAGTTCTGCAGAAGACATGCACCTCGCATCGGCACGCTCTGCCCACGCGGTCTGGGGAGGGCAGGGCGCCTGCGGGCTGGGCAGGTGCCACGATGCCCTCCGTGGCCTGCACCCCGACTCACCACAAGCCCCAGCACCAGCGTGCGCACGCGCTCCCCGATCTCCGGGGAGATGTCGCTGCCGAACTGCTGCAGGGTGGTGAGGAAGCGCTTGAGCTTGCTTAGCTGCCGCGCCCCACAGGCTGGGGGCAGGAGCTGCGTGGACAGCGAGGCTGTGGATGAGGTGGCCGGGCCATTGCTGAAGCCGTTGGGCGTGCAGGGGGTGCCGTGGACGGCCGTCGGAGAGTGACTGCTGCCATTCATCACTGTGGAAGGACAGGCGGGCAGGGACACGTGAGGACTGTGGGGCTCAGCCCACACTGGGGCCGCTGCAATGCCCTGGCGTGCTGCACGCCCTCCGCGGTGAGCATTCTGAGCTCCAGGTCTGCAAAGGCGGGAGAGGGCTGGGGTGCTGCCCTAGCTCAGCACCCCATCGGTCTTGCTCTGGCTGTGCAGTCAAGCCCTTCATGCTCAGCGGGATACCAGCAGCCATGCTGCCTGGCAAGCCTGCCCCCTGCCAGGCTGCTTGGTGTCCACTGTGAAGAGGAAGGGGGGCTTCTCTGCCATTCGGGTCAGCTGGCCCACGCTGCCTCTCCCCGGGAGAGAAGGGAGTGATACCCCTTCCACTGTGACGGCTCTGAGCAGGGCCCCACTGTCTACCCAGGGGCCCAATGCCTGGCTGCTGGGGCTCGGCGTAGGGCAGAGGTTCCTGGGCCCCTGGGACAAGTGGGGCTGGGTTCTGGTAGGGCAGCACTTGGCCAGTTGCCATCTGGGACTGTCACGCACACAGATGTGTGTGCACATGGGCCCCTGTCCCCAAGGCCCTGCCCCTGGGGTCAGTGTCCAAGGGCCACTGTGAAAGGGTCCTGGGCAGGACCTTGCCCTCAGCCTTGGGTTAAGGAGGGGAAGGCCAAGCCTGCACCTTGGGGGCCAGGGGAGGCCCCATGCCCTGCCACTTATGCCCAAGTCCCTGGCCTCAGATGCCTGTACCTCAACCACCAGGTTCTGCAAAGAGGTCATAGGTCATGGGCTCCCAGGGTCCTTGGTTATGGGGCAAAGGGCTCTAAACATGGGAGGGGGTACTGGCGCCTCAGGAGTCTTGAGGTGCATCCGGTAAACCAGTGGCCACTCAGAGTTCCCCTCGGCCGGCTCCCCAGGCCCAGCGTCATGCACTCCACCCCGGCTGGCTCCCTCCTCCTGCGCGTGTGTGCGCGTCCCACACACTGATCAGAACCCTGTTCCCTCACACAAACCCTCCACACCCTGTCTTCCCTCCTCCCTCGGCATCTTGCACGCACAGACACACACGTGTGTGTGCATCCAGATGTGTCCCGCATATGGCATACACACATGAGCACACAGCACACTCACATATGCAAGCAAGTACGTACATACCCATGTGCGCATGCAGCCCCACACAGCACACCCAGGGCACGCTTACATGCGCACATATGCACATGCTCACCTATCACTCAGCTGTGGTCCTTGGGGCCCCCAGCTCCTCCCACCTTGCCCAGTAACGGGAAGAGGTCTATGGGCACAGTCTGTGCTCTCACACTGCCTGGGAGTGGGGGTGGGGTCTGGGGGTGGGGGCAGCTCAGAGCTGCTGCTCCCTCGGACCAAGTTCCTCTGTGGCTCCAGCCACCTCCTTAGACCTGGGCTGAGGCCTGGCGGCCTGTGTGTGCAGAGATGGGGAAGCAGGAACCCCTTCTTTTGGGATGGGGAGGCTGCCAGGCTACGCTCTGGGAAGCTGTTCCTCCTGAGCAGCCACAAACATTTGCTGTTTACTCTGCTTACCTGGGATGGTGGGGTGTTGCTTTGCCCTCCAGCCCTTCGTGCCCTGGCCCAGGGAGCTGCCCTGTGTCAACTGCCCTGGCCTGGAAGGAGCACGTGGGGTGGGGCCTGCACGCCAGCCCCTCTGCCCTGGACCTCAGCTCCCCCCAGCTGTGGCTGTCCTGGGTTCAGGCCCCCTGCACACCCACCGCAGGCCCAGGGGACAGCCTGCCTACCTCCAGCCCCGGGACTACACCGTCTCTCCCATGGGCTCTGGAACTGGCCCACCCCTCTGCACAGAGCCCTTTAAGTAAATGCCCTCTGTTAACCCTGAGCCTGCCCCCTGGCTGCCTCTGCCTTCCCCAGACACTTGGATGACCAGTCAGCCAGCTAGTGGCCCCTGCAAATGCTTCTACCCCACTCACTGGCCAGGGAGGCCCCTGAGCAGCAGGTGAGAGGCTCCCCACCTGCTGGCTGACCCCGGCATCGAGTAGGCCCTTGGGGCAGACATACATAGCCCTGCCTGGTGTTGGACAAGCTGCCCTGGTGGGGAGTGGGCGCCCTACTGGAGGCCCCCATGGCCTGACCCTCCCTGACGGGCTGTGTGCGCCTGCTTGTTTCTTCATCTGCAAACGGCCCTGGGCCTGAACCAGAGGTAGGGCCTTGGGGGCCAGGGGCCCAGGCGCCTGGCCGCCTCGCTCTATGCTCGTCGGCCTTATAGGGCCCAGGTCATCTCCCACCACCAACAGAGCTGCAAACACTCGACCCGCTTTTGTTTCCTGTTGGGCGACGTCTTGTTGGTGCCTAGCCCCCAGGCAGCGGGCATTTGGAAACCACTGACTGGCGGCCACAGTTGGCATCAGTGCTGGTTGGCCCCCTCCTGGGGAGCGCTGGCTGCAGAAGGGAGCCCAGCGCTCTGCCGCCCACTGGTCCTGCTCCAGGGATCGCCCCTCCTCAGGGGCCCAATGTGAGCTGAAACCTGTTAGCGCCCCCCGGTGTGAACTGTCTCAGGAGCACCTTTGGGGCCAGAGGTGACATACTGGCTGGGCACCAGGCCCGCAGGAGCAGTGCACCTCGTTCGGGGGCCTCCCCCTGCTCTGGGATGGGGAGTGGATGCGGCACAGGCCACAGAGGACCCCCAGTGGGGCAGGAGACCCCGCTGCCGCTCTCTTTTCTCACCGGCGAGCCCCTGTGGTGGGCACGACACACACATGCTGGGCAACACTGATGACAGCCCCTGGCAGTCACTCCGGCCAGCCCGGAGACGGCCCACTGCCGCGGGGACTTCACCATGCGGGGGGCTCACTCCCCATGGCAAAGCGGGGCCCTCACCTGGGACCCGAACCTTTCAGAGGCTTCTGAGGCGTGTGACTGCCTGTGCCTCCGGGGCCCCCACCCGCCAGCCGCTGGCCCTCCTGGCCCGGCCTCCCCGCAGCTCCCTTACCAGCGTGCCCCGGCGCCTCGGTCCTCCTGCGGCCTGCTTGCCCGCGCTGGCCAGTGCTCCCTCCCTTGGGCTGCCGGGCAGTCTCAGCAACTTGCTAAAGAGATGCCGAAAATAGCCCCCGGCCACAAGTGCCTTCATTCCCACAACAGGTGTGTTACTAAGTTAGACCACACACGTGTCCTGGGCCGAAGTTTGGGGGCACACACTAGCACCCCTGTGGCTCCCCCCCACCCCTGGGGCCTGTGTGGGGGTTGGCCTAGGACGAGGCTCTCTTGCCAGCCCCTCTCTTTGCCGCAGGGCGCTGCTGCTGTTGCATCAGAGCGACACACAGCCCTGAAGGCCCCACCCGGGTGCCCCGGGCACCAGAGTGAATCCAGGGCTCATGGGTAACAGCAAAGAGGGCGACGACATCAGGGGGCAGGAGTGACACAATTGCTGCATAGCCCTCCTTCTCAAGCCCTGGAGCCACACACAGGCCGCACCTGGGCCGTGCAGCCCAACTGCCTGGGGCAGGGGCCTGCCCCGGCATGCCAGGCCCAGCTGACGTGCTGGCTGACAAACGCCTGAGCGTCGCCCATGGGAGTGTGCTGCTGTGGCCGTCAGCTGCAGCCGGGCACTCGGGCATTCGCGTCCGCTGGTGACCGGTGTCTGTGAGCACCCGGTGTGTGCCAGGCCTCAGTCACACGACCAGCGGCATCTCGTAGCACCTCATGATCGCCCTCGCCATCAGGTGCCACGATGACTTCCATTTTACAGGCGGGGAAACTGAGCCCAGGAGCTGAGAAGCTGGGACTCGACCTCGTGATGGCTGAGCTATGGACTTGCTGTTGACCAACTATCTTCTCCCAACCAGGGTCCCCCTTGGGTGCCCTGCTTTGCGGTCGGGAGCAGGAGGCTCAGAGAGGCTGTCTAGCTGCCCAGCATCATGTGGCGCGTGGGCAGCAGGGCTGAGGCATGAACTCAGGCTGTGACTCGGGGACCCCGACTGCCCCCTCTCCTGAAGTGCCCCTGGGACTCCTCTCCTGTGTCTGGGAGAAGGCAGCACACACATGCCCAGCGTGGTGTGTGGGCAGTGGGCACCTGGCAGGGCCTCCTGGGAGGCCTGTGGTTTTTTTTATTTTACTTACAGAGACAGACCATAGACCACTTTAAGCAGCCGTGAAAGCGGCCATGGGGCAGAGACATCGCTGGCCCATCCTCTCCATCTGTAAGCAAAATAAGAAAAACATGCTGTCAGGAAAGAGGCTGCAGGCAGGCGCTCCGCCTGCCTCCTGACAGCAGTTTGGGGACAGGACCCTGTCACCACCTTGGTGTTCCTCTCTTTGGCCTGTCTCCTCCCCTGGAAATTAAGGGGTTGGACTGAGAATCTTGCAGGGCCATCTCCTGTGGGACCTTCTTGGGGTCTACAAGAATTTTGGTGCCCCCATTGGCATGGTGGGCACTGGAAGGCACCTGGGGTCCCCCCTTGGCGCTATCTTCCCAAGCGGACCCGGCTTGCTCTCCATGGACGGACAAGCTAGTGGCGGTTCCAGAACAAAGCCCAGGACTGAGCTGCTGCGAAGGGAGGACACAGCCAGGGAGAGACCTGACCGGTGCGAGCTGGGGAGAGCTGGCGAAGCCGCTGGAGGCAGGCCGCATGGCTGCAGCAGAGAGCGGGCCCTGTCACAGGGGTGACCCGGGGCAGGGTGGGGCGCTGGCCCTCGGTGGGCGCCCCCAGCTGCAGAGTAGCCCCTCCAGCCACAACCCAGCTGCAGCTCCGAAACCAGCCTGTGCTCAGGAGCCACCAGGCGAGGGGCAGCAAGGACACACAGCCCAAGGGCTGTGGCCCAGGTCAGCCTCCGGCCGGCCCAGTTCCTATGCTGGGGCCGGGCAAGCTGGGGTGGTTCTTGGCAGGAATCCATAGCTGAGTGCGGGGCTGCAACCAGGTGCACAGACACGGTGAGCCCCCCGGGGTCAGGGAACTCCACAGGTCAGGGAACGAACCTGAGGCCACCCTGGAGGCGGCCAGAGACCCAGACAGTGCCCCCCAGGAGGCTGATGGCACTGCAGTCGGCTTCAGAGAGAAGGGCCGCTTATCTTTTATAAACGACAAGCTCTAAATGAAGCTTTGACTCCAGAAATGTGAGCTGAGGCGGGGGTGGGGGGGCAGGAAGGGTCTGGGAAGCCCTTAGCCACACGTAGGCCCACCACCCCTACATCTGTTCCCAGCATTTTGAGAGCCAGCGGGGTATCCCCAGCCCAGGCCAGCGGGTCCCCAGAGCTATGCTTTCTGGACATGGGCCCCTGGAGCATGAAGAGAAGCAGGCTGAGGGAGGGGGGCACACAGGGTTGGGGTGCGAGTGGGGGGCCCTCGGCTGCCTGTCCAATGGCCTGCTGGCTTCTCCACGAGGGACAGAGTGACGTCACGGTGGGGGCGGGTTTTGGGCCAGCTGTGGCCTGTTCCTTGGGAGCAGCTGCCCCATCATGAATAACGGCACCCCCCCACCCCCCGGCTAAGGTGTATGTGCGGGAGTCAAAGACGCCCCGAGCCTTGCTCTCTGCCTACGAGGCCGGAGGGGTGGCAGCTGTTCAGGGGACGGGACTCTGCCTGCGGCTCAGCTGGGAAGTGAGGACTGACCCTTCAGGAAAGGAGGCTGACCTGGCCAGCAGTTGCCACGTGAGAACAGCAGCCTCGGCCCTTTCTGGTGCGGCTCGGAGGAGAAGGGGCTGGACCCTTCTGCGCCGAGCACAGGTGCAGGGCAGGGTGTTTGGCTATTAAGTTCCTACTGTGCGCAGGGATGTGCCTAGTTTCAGGCATCTGCACTGGGAGCAGGTGGTGGTACTCCGTTTATCAAACAGACTCTTGGAGGGGCCAGGAGGCTGGCTTAAAGCCAATATCCTGCACACTAGGGGCCAAGCCTGCCCTGAACTTGGGCGGCCTGACCCCACAGCCAATACCTTCTCCAGCTGGAGGCTAGGTTATGCCCAGGCCCCAGGGAAGCCGCTGCCCACCTCAGCTGGCAGGACCAGCACGCTTCTTGTCCAGGGATAAAGGGAGCCAGGCTGGGCCTGGCAGTCTGCCCTGGGCTCTGGGGAGGGGAGGGGGCCCGAGGGAGCCGCTCTCACTTCTCAGCGCAGTGGGACCAGGGGCCACAAGGCCGAGGAGTTTGAGGCTCCTCTCCCAGACGGGAGCTTCACTCAGGTTTCAGAGCCTGGGGCGGAGTCCCAACTGGGGAGCTTTCTGGGCCCTGGACATGGTGGGGGACCCTGGATTCTCGCCATTATCCATCAGAAACATGAGATGCACCGTGAAAGCTCCTGGTCCTGGGGGACAGGAAACCCTGTCCCACACCAGCCCAAGCCTAGACGCCACCTTCCCATCCGCCCAGGACCCCAAAGTCACCGACTCAAAGGAATGGGGCCCTGGTGGTGACTGGACTGTGGCAGCCTACCCAGAGCTTCCCAGGGCTGCCGGGACCCACCAGAGGCCCAGCCTGCCCACCCCGTTGCCAGCGGCCAAGGCCCCTGCTGACCCCAGTTCCTGGCCAGCCCTCACACCCCGCTGAGGCCTGGCTGCGGGGCTGCTGGTGTCTGAGCTCCTCCAAGGCCAGAGCCGCCTCCCGTGGGCCTTCCAGGGGGACGCAGGCCCGGGGGGCTTCCCTGCACTCAAGTGGCCTGCTGTGGGGCCCTCTCTGAGCAACAGGTGCAACGCTGACTGATGGAGTGCTCACGATACGCTCGTCCTTCGGTAAGAACTTCTAACCCACTCATCCTCATGGTATTACCACTGGGGAGACCATGGCCAGCCCCTCTTTATGGGTGAGGAAGACCCGGTCCAGAGAGGTTAAGCAGCTTGCCGAAGGCCACACAGCTACAAAGCAGAGGAGCTAGGATTTGAACCTCAAAGCCTGGGCTCTGAGCTGTGATGGGATGTGCCCTCTCAAGGGCCTCACAGTGGGCGTTCAGGGGTTCAGGGTGGAGGGACCACAGCAATGGTTCAGCTCCAAACAGCTGGAGGGGCTCCCCACTCAGCCCTACTTTGACACGGCTGCTCCTCATTTACCAAACCCTGGCTATGGGGTTACTCACGTGTATGGGGTGTGAAGGAGAGGTGCCGCGTGGCCTCCTGGGCTGGGGCGGGTGGTGGGGGTGGCATGTTGGGGGGCGTGGCCCGGGGCTGCGTCTTCACCTCGGCTGGGGAGTCGGGCATTGCTGCAGCCCTGCCCTTTCTGTCTGTTGCTGGAGACAGCCGAGTCCATGCAGGGGGGAGAAAGAGAGAGAGTGAAGCAGGCTGAGGGGTAGAGGGCGCTGGCAGCTGCCTCGGCCTCACCCACTCCGCCAGGACCCCCACCAGCAGCTGGCTTTGGGCCTGAGCTGCCGGGCCCCATCCCAAGGCCCAGTCCATCCAGAGAAGCTCCAGGTGTGCATCCCAGCCACCTGAGGCCCCGGGGCGGGGCTGGCTCAGCCCACTGCAGGTGGGTGCGGGGTGCAGCTGCAGGATCCCTGGGCTGGCCGGCACAGGGCTCGTGTCCTCCCTGTGGGGGAGGCCTAGGGGGCTCTGGTTTTCTTTCTGCAGACTAGGGAGTCAGGTGGCGCTGCCTCCCAGGCAGCATGCCACTCACACACCCTGCCCTGTCAGCATCCCCTGGAGGACGTGCTCAGACAAAGGTGCCGGCCTCCCCACCCCGACTTCTGATGCGGGGAGCCTGGGGGAGCCTGAGAATCTGCACTCCTAGCAGGTTCCCGGGGGGGGGGGCTGCCGTAGGTGGTTGAGACGCCGCTAGAGAAACCACGTTCCGAGGGCCCCATCAGTGCTCAGTTGCTATGACGTTTGTCTAGGGGTCTTCCCTGGTGGGGGGGGAACCTCTGTTTTAACGATCTCCTGGCGTGGATGAGTCCCAGGACCAGCCACTAAGGAACACTGATTTCAGGCTGTTCTAGGTCTGGCCACTCCAAGTGTGGTCCCAGACTGGCGGGTCCCCTGGACACTGTGCTAGCATCCCTTGGTCTGGTGCCCTGCTCTGGGTCCAGTGTATGGAGAAGGGTGGAGATGGCCACAAAGGATCAAGGCCTGGGAGGGCCCTGAGCCCATGGCCACAGGGAAAAGGCTTCCGGGCCATCTGACCACCCACACGAAGCCTGAGCCAGCAGCTGCCGGGTATCCCTCGTAGGCGGAGAGGGGTGAGCCCCTGGGCCTCCCCCTCCGCCTTGGCTCAGGGTCAGCCAGTGCCCGGGCAGGCCGCAAAGACCCGGGAGTGGCAGCTGAGGTCCTGGGAGGCCCAGCTGCTCAGCGCCATCGATGTGGGTGTCTTCTACCTGTTACAAACAGCAGGCCCACACTGCCCCCTGCTCTGTGGTGTCCTGCTAGGACACCAGCAGCCTCAGCCAGAGCCAGGGGACCGTGGGCTGGGGCCCCAGACAGGGCTCCGCACCCGCTAGCTTCCACTGCATGGCCACACTTCTTGTCCCCTCTGCTCCCTCACCCTCCCTTCCCAGGGGCCCCCATGGCCCGGGCGGCTGTGGAGACACACATGTGCATCTGGGGTGCCCAGCCTCTGGATGATGATGAGGAATTCTGGTGATGGTATTTACCATAGTACTGAGCAGCCCCCCACAGGTGGGGCTGACAGCCCTCTGCCCCCCAGGCCTCGCGGAGTGATGTGAGAAGCCCCCTCGTCAGCAGGATGGGGATAGGGAAGCAACGGTGATGAGCAGCCCACCGGGTTAGGCAGCACCTGCTCCCGTCGGGCGCCCTGCCCCCACGGCCTGCCTGTCAGGAAGCTGATGGCCAGGCACACGTGCACAGCAGCTGTGGGTGCCCATCAATGCCGCGCCTGCTGCAGGGCCCGTGGCCAGTCCCCGCTGACAACCAAAGAAGGCAAACGCGGCTGGCACGGCTGCCCCAGGCCACCCTGGGGGTCCAGACCTGTCTCTGCAGGGCCGCCCAGGGGCAGCTGCAGAGGGCATTTCAGGTTGGGCTGGGACACCGGGGACACAGGGTCTGTGCCTTTCCAGTTCCTTCTCTGCTGGGGCTTCCTTGCAGCTTCACAAACAGCCCAGAAGAGCGATGGACAGGAGCCCAGCTGGAGCCGCACGGGGAGCTTGTGGGCGGCCT